ACTATTTAATTTTGGACATCATTTTAATGAGTGAATGGACATTATTTAGTTTTAAAAATTAGAAAAACTAAATTTATAATAAAAACAAATTTGAGAGTTGAAAATTGCATATTTACATACTAAAAATGAATCTATTTCAATCGTATATTATTATTCAATGAAATGAATAGCAAATGATAGTATGATAGAAAAAGCTGTATTTATATCAATATCATATGACTAAACTAATCTGTTCTTATCCTAACAATCATCTTTTCCTAACCATCTAATTCAGGGCAAGCCATTAAAAAGAAAAGACTGTGTCTATAAAGTCAAGGCTTCAAATAATAATTAAGAGATATAAGATGATATTAGAGACCAGAGAGGAAATAAGAGTACTACAACTACAGGGTATGAGTCCTAGCTCTGCATCTGATTTTGTGTTCTCAGATATATAACACCAAATTCACAATTTTGTTCTACTATATTTTTATTTGGCAATTTTAGACTCTTAACTTTACAAAATCCGATCCATAACTTGGAAGAAAAACATAAATATTAAACAAAAGACCATTGATTCAGCAGAATAGTGATAAATATTCCAAGCTAAGTGGTTGATATCGAACCCAAAATTCCCTTTGTTATTAACACTACCCAAGGCAAGAAGCATATATACTGAAATTCCAACCTACACCTTCTCTCCAACTTGTTGCTGAATTGTCAAGAACATTTCCAACGTGTCTAGACCAAAATTGCAACACACATTCCTGCACCGAGTCATGAGCAAAAATCCACACTCTCCCCATGCCTTGCATGTGCCAACACAACTCCAACACTTTCCCTTCTTCCTATATAACAAACAACAAGCTAGTCTCCAACAACACAACTCAACTTACACTACTATCTAACAATTTGCACTTTTTGTTCTTTAATTTCCATCCAATCCCTATACCCAGTTTGCAAAGCTAATATGGCGTCTATTTCAAAGGCCATTAGCCTAGAATGCAAGAACCATGCATGTGCAAATAATGGTGCTGATCCCTATCTTTATGTTCTTATGGCTTGCACTGAAGACGATTCGGGCGTTGCATATATGGAAGGTGACGATGATGACGATGGTTATGACTATGCTCCCGCAGCATAATAAACTCGCTTTACTTATTAGTAAGCTTGTATTATTATGTAACAAAACCAAATTTTAGTTTTGGGGCTCTCAATCCATTGAATGACCCCAAGTTTTGTATGCAAGATCAAGTATAGTATCCACTGTATGCTGTGTCACACATCATATTTTACTCAACAATCTTGGTAGTAAGGTAGGTGATGGAGATACACATAGTTTAGAAATAAGTAAGTGTTGGAGATACTCAATTTAAATAAGATTATTGTAATGTTTATAAGTATGCAGTAATCCTCTTCTTACAAATAGATATTTTGTAACTTTAAGTTAAACTTTTAATTTACTTTCTTAATAAATTATAAAAGATAATATTTTAATAATTATTAATTGTTGTTGATGTTATTGAATTCTCGAGATATCTAATCCTTAACATAAAAGAAGTATATTCTTTGTAAAATAAAGTCATCCTAATGAATGTATAAACGTGATTATCATAAAACTTGTTATTCCTCAGAATAATCATAATTTTATAACATTTTATACTAATGAACGTATAAGCGAAATTATCATAAAACTTGTTATTCTCATAATAATCATGATTTTATCACATTTTATTTATTACTTTTTTCTATCATGTACCGGTGGGAACACCATAAGAGAGTCATTCTAAAATGATATGACGGGACAATTTTTGAAAGGTCCTAAACCAAGATAACTTAACAGTACACGTGTCATGTGAACATTTTTTTTCCTTTCTCATATCTGCCAATTTGACCATCTAATTCAGGGAAAGCCATAAGATATAGAATGTGTACACAGTTGAGCAAGGAAGGATAAAGAAAGGGATATCATCAAATAAGAGACGGTCAAAAAAAAAAACAAAAAATTGGAATATAGTCATTTACTTCAAAGCAGCGCAACTACAGGGTATTCAATCGGCTCTTTTTTCTGATTTTTGAGTTCTCTCCTAATCAAATGTAAACACGTGCATTGCTGTTCTTCTCCTCTAACTCTTGAACTATGATTTTACTAACTTTCTTTTATATAAAATTTTAATACCATTATATTCTTATAGTTGTATCAGGCGTGTAAACAAGTACGAGTATCATGTGAATTCAAGCTGACCTAATGAGTCAGATTTGGATCTCTTGAGAGTTCAAGTTATACTTGATCAAATCTGAGTAAAATCTGATACTATATGAATTGGTAACGAGTTGTGTATTTCAACCGAAAAAATGTTTCATTCGTATGAATTTTGGTCATATTAAGAAAAAATATCTTATTATGTGGGAACTTTCAATCAACAATTATAATTTCTATATCTATTATTGTACCTTTTATTTTTCTTTTCATGCTATTTTAATTTAAAGTCAATTTTAATAATTTCATATGTTAGTTTGAATCTTGATTTTATTGACTATAATATATTAAAAATAGTTATAAAAAATAATATTTTTACTTTCTTCTAATAAATTATCAAACACACATATTACAAAATTTATTAATTATCATTAAAAATATTGTATTTATAATAGAAACAAATTAATAAATTGTTATAAAACAAAAAAATTATGAATTTATTTATATATTAACTATTTTTTCAAGCTGATAAATTAAATAGAAAAATATATATTATAGAAATAATATTATTATTAAAACAAAATTATAAATAAAAAAAAAACAAAAAAAAATTGCTGTTGAGAAATCTGTTATCGGTTAACCAATTTTGTTAATGCATAAATGAAAAAAAAAATTGAAAAACTGATGGCAATTCCAAGTGGAGTAGATTGAAGTTCTCCACTCTTGAACCGCCAAACTTGATCACTTCCTTGAGGCAATCCAACTGATGATCAAATCTCGGATGGAAGAGACTTTGAATGAAGAAGGATGGAAGAAGTAAGATCCGGAAACACCTATGCCAAAGGAGCAAAAGAATGCTCACAAGTTGACCTAGATCCTAAAAGCAAGGCTAAGAGCTTGCTCGGCCAAGTGACTTTGAAGGGAGAGAGTTTGTTGAATATTTTCAGAATTCTCATTCAAATTATCAAAGTGAATACAAGAATGAAGAATTTGAACTTATATAGGCTCGGTTTGAAAGCAAAATGGTGCCAAGGTTCAAGCATCACATTTTGGCGCCTAGATTTGAATTCCAATTCAAATTTGAATTCAAATCTTCACTCCCGATGTGCTTGGCTGTGAACCTAGGTGCTCTAATGCATCTAAATTTAATTTAGGAAGAATTTAGGGTTGATTTGAAGGTACACATGTTCAGCCACAAGTGGTGCCAATCATGTGACTCAAATGCAAATTAAATGCCTTCCAAATTAAATCTAGTTTTAGCCTAATTAGCCTATTTAAGTAATCCTCCAATATTCCTATTCTAATGGCCTAAATACAATGGCCAAACAAATACAATAGAAAGGAAAAATTACAAGAATGAAAATGAGTCCAATGAGCCTAAAGCCCAAAAAGTCCTATATTAAGGTTCATAATACAAGAACAAACAAAATGAACTCCTACACTACTCAATATGCAATAAATGTGGTCAATCATGTAAAGTCCAAGTGAAGAGAACCTTAGGCCTACTAAGCTTTGAAGCAGTCAAATTTTCAAGTAGTCTCCTAGCCATAGCTCTAGTGGTTGAACCTTTGGTCTATGCTCTTCCATAAAAAACTTAGGTGAGAAATTAGCTAATAGGAGATAATTAGGTAAGAAATTGGTTAGTGAGAGATCAAATTTTGAACATAAATAGTAAATATAACACTTTGATAAATATATTTCAGAGTATGATTTGGTAAATTTATTTATTCATTGTAATATTTAAATAAAAAAGTCACGAACTAAGATATTTGTTGTTTCTCCTTTTGTTTAATATATACGTAGCGGCACGTTTAGCTTATTTTTTTCTTTTAAGAAAAGCAACCAACAAATTTTTGCGGCCGCAGTCACTAGATTTGAAGTTGTTAGCATATGTGCTTAAACATTTGGGTTCAGGAGTTCAAATTTTGTCTTAGTCATGAGCTTTTGACAAGCCCAGTCGCAAGAAATCTGCTCCCAAATGATTGAAGAACTTTAACTAGTTGAGCTTAAGATAAGAAAAGAACCTATGCTTTATTGTTTTCCCTAAATGGGCTTCGTTGTTTATCAGCCCAATGCTTTTTCTTACTTATATGTAATATGCTACCTTGACGAGGAGAATGGAGAATTTATTTACAATTTATATATATATATATATATATATTTTTTTTTTTGCAGTAGCAAACCCTAGTTCTCTAGTAACTTCTTATCAGTTGCAATTAAAAGTATCATCATTTTATCTTTATAATAGGCCACTTGGTAGCAGAAAGTTATGTCTTTTAGTTAATGAATAAATAAATAAAATAAACATTGTAGCAAGTCCACCCAAGCAAACAGAGCAGGTGTTGGACTCAAATTTTTCTTGACGGTAGAGACAAATTCTCAAATGTCATGGGCTAGTGATTGTTTGTCCAACTATTCAACCCCTTGCCCAATTCTCAGTGATCGATTAAAGTTAACTAAGCAATAAACATAGAGTTTAGACTCAAGTCTCAACAAAACCCACACTAACTTCATCCGAAGCCTTACCAATTAATTAATCACAATGTCGCGAATGGGAGAGGCAAGGTTTGATTCAGTGTCATTTCCATTTTGTTGACTAGGCAGCATGACTCACCCCACCACTATAATATGAGCACGCGTGGTGTGCTGAGCACCTTTATTTGGGGAAGGCCACAACACTACCATTGGTTCTCATTCATTCTCCTTTTCATGTTGACACCCCTTCCTATTCTTAATTCAACAACTCTACATTCCACAAAATCCAAAGCATATGCATAGCTCAACACCCCCCTCAAACCATTCTAAACTCCCCCAGCCACTAACCTCAACATGAAATTTCCCATCCAACAAGTCAAACAGCTACCCCTGACACCGCCCATGAGGTCATCACAACTCTATAGTTTTTTTTTCTTTCTTTTCTTCGTAACAAGACTCTTATTAAAGAGTTTATATATTTAAGAAGAGTGAGACTAAGTTTAGTATTACTCAACACTCAACACTCAACACTTAACAAAACGACATGTTTAGGATGGCTACGATTTGGGATCCTTGTGGGACGGTTGTCCTATGTGGCCACTAATAATGTCAAAAAATATTTATGAAATCCAAATGTCTTTTTCCAACCAATAAAAAAACCTCATCACTCCTGCATCCTTGTCAAAAGCCAACCACAGCGAGACAAGGACTTATTCATATATAAATTTCACCAACTAAACCCACCAACAGGCACGGCCACCCGAGTTAACTAAACTCACACACAGAGTGTCGTTTTGGGTTACATGGACAACCACCGAAACCCAACCCCGAAAAACGCCATTGGGCTGTGTCTCCTCCCACAGGAACTAATCCAAAACATCTTCCTCTCCCTAGTACTCCCCGAAATCATTCGCTTGAAGCTCCTCAACAAGTCCTTCTCCCGAATCATCTCCGACCACGCCTTCGTTCGCCAGTGCAACCACCTATCAACCTCCACCACGTGGCTCTTCGTCTACAAAAAGCGCTGGCTCCGCGACGCCGTGCTCCACGCCTTCACCGACCGGAGCTCCGACCGCTGGTTCCGCATCCCCATCGCCGACCTCCTCAAACCCGCCCACTTCCACGGCGAGGATCTCTACTTCCTCGCCGCCTCCAACAACGTCTTCCTCTTCGCCTCCAACACCGTCCGCGAGGTCGTCGCCGTTAACCTCGTCGCCGTCACCGTCAAAAGAATCCCCCCTTCCCCGCTCGGCCCACGTGGCACCTCCTCCTGGAGGCGGTCCGGGATGAAGCTCGTGGCCGACCCGTCCGGCTCGGGCCAGTTCCGGTTCATGTTCGCGGAGTTCGTCGCGAACCGGCCCGTTCTGTTCGTGTACGACTCGGGGTCCGACACGTGGCAGTCGAGGGAGGCGGAGGAGAGCGTGGTGGCGCCACGTGGAGGGGGTCACGTTTTCCTGAACGTGGTTCACGGGCCGAGGGAGAGCGTGTTGGTGGCGTCGTCGGGGGAGCGTTCCGCCCCCGTGGTCCTGCGGCCGCGGTTCGACGAGGGGAGGACCGGAAACCTGACGGTGGGGTTCAGCTGGGGGAGCGTGATCGACCGGCTACACGTGTACGGTGATGGGTACATGATGATCGTGAAATCGGAGGGTGATGGCGAGGGCGCGAGGGTGCTCAAGGGTGTGGAGCTTTGGGGGTTGGGGTTGGAGGGGAGAAAGTGGGAGCTTGTGTCTGCGGCTCGCGGCGTCATTCGGAAGCCTTATGCGGCTATGATGGGGTGCTTGGAGGAGAAAAACGGCGTCGTTAAGGCTGCTTTGGTGTCCAATTGTGAGGGGCTTTGGGACATGACGTGGCTCTCTTTCGACACCAAGTGGAACCACTGGACGTGGATGCCTCTCCCTGATTGCAAGATGAAGGGTTGGAACATGGCTGGCATAAGCTTCTCCTCGGGACTTACCTTGCCGTGAATGTGATTCAACAACATCTTGTTACTTGTCTTGTGTTACACCTCAATAATGCTTGCTTCTCCTGCTTTTTTTTCTAGACTTGTTTTGTTGTAACCATGTGTAAATACGATTAGTTTAGCTAGCTGAATAAATGAGTTTATTAAGACCGTTTAGTATATATGTCAGTTCATCGATCCAATTTTTCAACAATTCAAATTCAAATTTAATTCATCATAGACATTTTAAAGTCTTGATGTTTGTTCAGTATTACTTATGAAACTCAACTCACCTAAATTTATAAAGTTGATTAGTTAAATTTTTCAAGAAGTGGTTTGAACTTTTTTAATTTTAATCAGTTTGGTATATTTCAATTATCTATTTTATATTTATAAAATCCAATTGATCTATTTTATAAAAATAAACCGAACATTTAGACTAATTTTACGAAATGAATTGATTAACCAAATTGTTTCTATAAAATGGGTAACCTTCATTTTTCTCAAAATGGATATGTTTTTAGGCAAAATTTACCATAGACCTATGACTTATGTGGTTCATGGATGGACCAATGAAACAAAATATAATTTCATTAACAGAGAAGTAAAAAATACCGTTAGATATATAAATAATAAAATTGAATGATTTAGATTTATTTGATAATAAAAATTTTATTAATGTATTAATCTTATTTTTTATGGTATTTATGGTAAAAATACTGTCAAATTTTTTTATACAAAAAAAAAAAAGCTCTCATCATCCCATTGTCATCCCTATCAATCTTAACCTTTTTCTTTGACTCTATCAATCCCAACATCTTTCTTCGACTTTATCATCTCCAATCTCCTTCTTCGGCTCCATCAACCCCAACAGCCACATCACCTTTAGTCCCTTAAGGGTTTCATTCCCCCTCCCTTGAGACTGACGACAAGATCGTCATCGTCTACAAAAAGCTTAATGGCCTCGCCTACAACAACGTCTCTGTCCTCGACAACAACTATCTTTGTGATGGACACCAAGGTGAAGGAGACAGGGTTCAGGTTTTGGGCAAAGAAGGAGAAGGTGCACAACAGAGAGGGAGAAAGTGCAAGCACCATGGAGAAAGCGCAAGTCCCACACCCCTAACACTTCTTCCTAGTGAGCTGTGACTCCGACGACAACAATGAACCTTTGACTCCAGCAGGGAAGCTGCGTGAACCAGATCCCTTTACCTTCCTCTTCATTTGCTAAAACTCTACCAAACTCCACTATCGACATCATCTGCACCTATCACGAGAATCCTATGCCATCGTAGGAAAGGCTCGTTGCCCTCTCCTACGACCCAACTCCTTATGTCGCATGCGCCAAGTCCACTATTGTCGATAGCCACCACCACCACCTCGTTGTCTACAACACCTACGAGCGTGACTTCCACCTCGCCTATGTTGGGTTTCGCAGCAGTGGCAATGGCCAACAGGTGACTATCCTCAACAAGTGGGTATGTGACAAGTGCATTGCTGCTAGAGTGAAGAGCAAGCAGTAGTCCCTGAAGTTAAATTTAAGCATCTTCTTAAAAAAAGTTTTTTAATGTTTAAATAATTTAAATAAAAATAAAGATAATTACTGTTGACTTATTCATCCGTGGATAGTATGACTCATCGCCCTTTTTTTATAAGTTCAATTTTAGTTGAATTAGATTTGGTTTGTTTTTTTTTCTCCCACCTACCATTTAATGAATGAACTATAGGCGGTGAGTGGTACTAAAATATTGTGATTCCGAGTGATGCTGGTTTTGGGTGGTCATACCTGCACCTTTAATTAATTAGTAGTATCCAAAAATGTGAAAAGCGTTATTGTTATTACCTTTTATGAAAACCATTTACTGGATGAACTATAGGATAATAATATAGTATTGAAAATGAAAAGGGAAAGTTACAGTGGGTGATACAACGCCTAAACATGTTATTTACCTAATAGAATCCAGAGTGTGAAATAAGGTTCAAGTTTCTGTAACATTGCTTGAAAGTGATGCAATAATCATATTCAAGTGGTAGGAACTAGGAATTGTGAAAAGATGTATGATTAAATAGCTTAACTTAAAGGTCGGTTCCTTGCAAAACTTAATTAAGAAAAGCTTGGGAGATTTAATAAAATTCAAATTCCAGTCAAAAGGATATGATGAATATTCATAAAAGTAAATTGAAATATCGAGCCACATCCACATCCAAACATATGTTCTCTCACGTACAGGAAAAACCCTTTGATATTTGGTCCCAGCAGCTTCCCTCTTTCCTTTTTCTCCTTTAGTTTGATTGAGACCTCTTTCCTTGTCATACACACGCGCACACGATTGTTTTCATGCACAGTCAGGGATAACACATGAAATTCAAATTTTATATTCATTCCCTGGTTGAATTTTGTAATTTCTCTATTTACAGATGGTTTTCACCTTTTACTTTCAAATTCCTCGAAAGCTATTGTTTTTTTTCACCTAAGCAATCCTGATACTTTAGCCTTTTTGAGTTTCTGAAATGGTCCCTAATGTGTTGGCCACATTATTCACCCATTAATATCAAGAATGGCTTTTACGCTTTTGGATTGGCATAAAGTTCTTTAGTGAATTGCACTAATATAAATATATTTTTTCGTCTTTTCTTTAGCATACCATCGTGCAATGATATTTTATTGTTTTTATTTTATATGTTCTTATTAAAATTTACAGATGGGACGGAAATCGGGATGATATCTTTGTTGCTTTAATATTTTTGACAATGAGAATATCCATAAAATTACTTTGACACTCAAGTTAAAGGGAAGTTCAAGTTAAAACCCATATTAGCTAGGGTTAGTGTGATGGACGATGGTCCAATGTGGTTCATCTTATCTCTGGGTTTGAGATATAATTGTGTGATTTCAGGAAGTAATTTCGTAGAGGTAATTATGTGTGATATCTTTGCAGATGTGTTCTTATGATTTTGTAAGGTGTTTAATAAATTTTGAGATTCTTGGAGATATGGCACAAGAATCACTCATTCATCACCTTCTGGGTCAAGTTTTAGATTACAAAGAGCTAAAAAGACTGTTTGGTAAGTCTGGGTTCAAGATGAGCTGAACTCAATTTTCTTGAGCTGGGTGGTACATTACATACTTGTATCAAACTTCTAACTCAATTGAATAAGCAAAGTGGTATGTGGGTTGTAAACATTATTAAGAATCTCAACCAGGTATAGTCAACTAACACTACAAGAAAATTCCAAATTAGAGATGGAAAGATCCTTCGCAAATCCCTTGCTAAACAGAATGGCGAGAGAATAACGAGGGATTTGTGAAAGAACGATTCCCTCGCTAAATTCAAGTCACAAATTAGCGACGAAAGCATATCCCTCGCACTTCCCTCGCTAACTTCCTTCGCCACTCCCTCACAATTGGCTTTGCTAATCTATCGCAAATTTATGCCACTAATTCATTGCTATCACCTCGCAAATGTAGAACCCCAATTCCCTCGCTAACTGCATTTGATATTTCCTTGCTTACACACCGCAAAACCCTCGCAAGATATCCTTCGCTACTTTGTTGCTACTCCATCGCAAAATGTTGCTCAATTATTTCCTTGCTAGTTTTTTGCTACTTTGTCACAATTATCCCTTGCTATATTGTCGCTAATTCCATGCCAAATACCCACGCTAATCTCTCGCAAATCTGTCGCAACATATCAATTGAGGTCCCTCGCAAATCCCTTGCTTTGCCCTTGCAAATTCTTGACAACATATTTATTGAGTTTCCTTGCGAATTCTTCGTGAATCCCTCACAAATCCTTCAACATATAACTATTAAGATCCCTCACAAATCTCACGCTAACCCCTCTGATCGAGGCCGTACCCGGTCAAATAAAAGTAGTTAAATGTAATACTAGGAAGCTTTCCTAGGTCGTCTCCCAAGGACCATTTGTCTTTGTCAAAGGTTCAAACACGAAGGGGGGTGTTTTGGTTCAGATTTATCAAGGTTTAAAACACAATAAAATGCAAGTAGAACAGTAAGTAAAGCATGTTGACTCCTCGTTAAGATTGTAACTCTCTTATCCCTGGTTCACAAAAGATTCAATCACTTAATCCTTGTTCCATTCGAGTTAACCAACTAAGTGAAGATTAACTCAAGACTTCCCTACACAAATTAAGCAAACGTATACAACATTGAACTTCTCTCCAAGATTAAGCAAATTGTGGTCTTAAACGAAGCCAACTCGGATTCATTAAGCATGAATGGATGTTGAAAGCATTTAATATAGAAATCCAATGAAGAAGAAGAAAGCGGAACAGAGATGCATATACGAATAAAACCTCAAATAGAGCTTCCAATCCCCTCAAGGAGCCAACCCCAAGGGTTTTAGCCTTCCATTAAAACAAAAATGTAGTAGATGAAATGAAGAACAACAGAAACATAAACATCTAGTGAGAAGAAAAGAAAACTGAGAATCTATATTAACTTCAATATCAAAATGCAAGTCTCCAATACAAGCAAGGAAGCAAAATGTAAAAAGGAAGAAGAAGCAGAACAAAAAACATGAAGAACAACAACAAAAATGTGAAAAACCTAAGGGAAGAAGAAGAATTCAAAACATAAACGTGGTCACATCAAGTGTTGGCTGCTAGGTCAGCCCTAACCTAGACCTAAGACCTAAAAATGAAAAAATGGCCCCCCTGCTCATGTGTCTGGCCCAAATTTACAAAAATAAGGTTAACAAAAATGTAAATATATTGGTGATGTGGCGCTGACATGACAATGTGGTGTTGACATGGCACTTTATCTCTTGAAGTCCAAAATTAATATCCAAGGCCAAAAATGCTTCACAATTAACCTGAAAATAATTAATAGACAAAAATTAGACCAAGTGAATTGGAATTAATTAAAATTCGAATTACTAGCCCAATGAAGCCCAAACAATGAAACTGTGCAATTAATAAGCGATTAAGCCATCATTGTGGAGTATACTTGTATAATAACCTTATAAAAATAACCCTCATAAAATATCCCCTCATACAAATACCAATAAAATAACACCAATCAGTGGTATTAGAGCCACCTGGTTGGATGCGGTAACAACCCTCATAACCCCTCATAACTCATAAAAATGATAATGTGATATATAAAGAAAGATTCCGCTGCATGAAATGTTAGGTCCCTTGTTTGAGAGGAGGATTGTTG